TATGCAGATGACACAACCCTGCTAGCTGAAAGTGAGGAGGACCTGAAGCATGTGCTACAGAGGGTCAAGGACTGCAGCTTTCAATATGGATTGAGGCTCAATGTCAAGAAGACAAAGATTCTCACCACTGGACCAATTGGCAGCATCAGGATGGATGGTGAAGAGATTGAGATTGTTCACAGCTTTAGTTTGCTTGGCTCCACAGTCAACACTCTTGGCACCAGTGGCCAGGAAATTGAAAGGCGCATTGCCATGGAAAGTCTGCTGTTAGGGACCTCTCCAAAGTACTGAAAAGCAATGGTGTCTCTCTGGAGACTAAGGTTCATCTGATACAGGACATGGTCTTTGCAATCACTTTTTATGCATCAGAGAGGTGGACAATGATCAAGGAGGATAGAAGGAGAATTGATGTCTTTGAGCTGTGGTGCTGGAGAAGAGTATTGAGAATACCATGGACTGCTAAGAAAACAAACAGATTCATCCTGGAAAGGGTTAAACCAACTGGCTCCTTGGAGGCAAGAATTCTGAGGCTTTGTCTAACAAACTTTGTACATGTTGTAAGGAGAGACTGGTCCTTGGAGACGGACATCATGCTTGGGAGGGTGGAGGGATAGTGCAGGAGCGGAAGGCCCTCTATGAGGTGGATTTGTTCGGTGACTTGGGTAATCAGGGTGGGAGTGTCAGAGACAGTGCAATTGGCACAGGACAGAGCAGAGTTTAGGGCTCTTGTACATAGGGTCGCTAGGCGTCACAAGCGACTTGATTGCACATAACAAAAACAACATGGTCTTTAGCGCCCAGGTCCAGTAACTCATTCCCTCAAGGTGTTTGGTTATACATAAATAGTTTTGATAACTTTGTCTCTTCATGCACAAATCTATTTGCAGGACACAAAAATACATATAAAATATTCTGCCATTTGCATACATGCATAAATATATATTTTCATATATCTACACATCATTGTTATTTGTTATCAGAACACTTGATTGTGCTTAAATGAAACCTATACTTGGACCAAGAGGCAGTCACCAGAACACAGCAAGGAAACACTATATGGTTCAAAATTGGGAAGTGTGTGTGCCAGGGATGTGTCCTATCTGCAAATCTTTTCAATATGCAGAACAGATTGTCCAGGAGACTGGGATCTATGAGAAGAAATGTGCCATCAGGATTGGTGGAAGACTCATCAACCATCTGAATTATGCAAGTAATACAACCCTGCTTATTAAAACTGAGGCAGACCTGAAGCACTTGCTGAAGAAGGTCAAGGACTATAGCCTTCAATATAGATTGAAGCTTACCATCAAGAAGACAAAGTTTCTCACAACTAAGCCAATTAGAAGATCATGATAGATGATGAAAAGACTGAGATTATTAACAACCTTAGTTTTTTTGGCTCCACAATGAACACTCTTGGTAACAGCAGTCATGAAATTAAAAGATTAATTGCATTGGGAAATTCTGCTGTCAGAGATCTCTCCAAAGTACTGAAAAGCAACAACACCAGTCTGCAGACTAAGATGTGCCTGACCCAGTCTTTGTAATTACTTGCTATGCATCAGAAAGTGGGACAATGACTAGGAATAATAGAAGGAAAATTGATGCCTTTGAACTGCGGTGCATGGAGAAGAGTATTGAATATTCTATGGACTGCTAGGAGAACAGTTTCATCATAGAGAGCGTGAGACCAAGGCTGCTCTTTGAAGGCAAGGATTCTGAAGCCTTTTATGACATACTTTGGACATGTTGCAAGGAAGGACTAGGCTTTAGAGAGGGACATCATGCTTGGGAGGGTGGAGGGACCGCAAAAGAGAGGAAGACCCTCAATGAGATGGATTGATTCAGTGACTAGGGTAATGGGGGTAGTAGGCGTGTCAGAGACAATAAGATTGGCACAGGATAAAGCAGGGTTTAGGGTTGTTTTACATAGGGTTGCCATGAGTCGATGGCACAACATCTACACATGAAACTTGTTTATGAGTATAATCCCATTCATTTTCCCATGCTTTTTTGACTTGCATATATATCTGTTAATTATTATTATTAATTAATAATTATTAATATATATTAGTCATTACTGTAGTTGCAGAATTGTATTTGTAGTAGTATTTAGTTTGTTGACTTCAGTTCTTGTGTTTTTTTCAGTGTCTTTGTCTTGTTCATTTTGTGGTCTCTCCCTTATTGAAATTTAATTTTTGCATGATAAGTGTCTTTGGCTCTATGAAATGTCTATTGAATAAATCAAGTAGCTTAAGTTGATCTACATGACACTAACAACACTCAACCGTTTGAATCCAACCAATGCAGGAAAATTAACTGAAAAAATGTAGCAGGTGGTTCAGCTTACTTTCTCATGCTCACTGCAATACTTAAGTTTAGACTAGAGTTAAGACAAAATTTGCAATGTTTAATCTTTCCACTGTGTCTCATTATTATGCGTGAACTCATTGCCCTTGAGTCCATATCAACTCATGGCAGCCCTCCACTGGTTTTCCAAGACTGTAAATATTAATGAGAGAAGACTGCCTTATCTTTGTACTAAGGATCAGTTGTAGATTTATTGTTATTTTCTTTCTTTTTTAAAAAAGATTTTTTATACTGGTTTATTTACTAAGTTCATATACATTCTTTTTCACACTGGATCTTTCTCATTTCCTTCACATGCACCCCCATGCATCAAATTGTGTGATACAATGATTAACATGACACAACCTCGCCCATCCATCCTCAGCTCTCTGCTTACACCCTCTGTTCCCTTGGATCCTCACACTCATTCTACAATAATGGTCTTGTACAATATTTGTCCTTATGGGACTGAATTAGTTTACTTAGTGTAATGCTCTCCAGTCCTTCCCAAGTTAGATAGTAATTTACAAAATCATTGCTCCTGCATATTGCATAGTATTCGATCATTGTGGTTGGACATTTAGGCTATTCCCATGTTCTTCTGATGGTGAATAACTCTGCTTTGGGGAGGCAGTCTTCTCTCATTAAGTGTGATTATTTTCAGGCCAGATTTTAGTTTTGCTGTCCCTTTTTCTGTTGTTTCTGGTTACTCTTGTCCATGCACTTTCCTTTGGTGTCTCCATGTGAAAGAATTCAATTAAAATTTCTTATTGTTTTGGTCTTATTTTCACACATTCCTTAAGTTCCTTCTTTTCCCCAAAGGATCAAGTTTCTCCTTCATAACTGATGGAGAACTTTGTTGGTTATAGGATCCGTGGCTGCCAATTGTTTTCTTTCATATTTCTGTATATTCCATCCCACTGTCTATTAGCTTGCATGGTTTCTTCTGAGAAATCAGAATTTAATCTAATTGTTTCCCCTTTGTACGTGAATCTTTGGTTGTTGTTGTTGTTGGTTTGTTGTTGTTGTTGTTTTGGTGTGTTTTTTTCATGCTACTTTTAGAAATCTATTCTTATTTTTTAATTTGGAAAATTTGACTATGATATGTCTTGATGGTTTTCTTTTTGGGTCTAATCTATTTAGAGTTCATTGTGCTTCTTGAGTGTGCATTTATGTCTCTATTCTTCAAAATACCTGGGAAGTTTTCTTCTAGTACTTCTTCCACAATTATCTCCATGATTTTTCTGTCAATTCCATATTCTGGAATTCCAATCACATATATATTGTTCTTTTTCATGTCATCCCATGTGATTCTAATGTTTTCTTCTTTACATCTCATCTATAATTTTTCTTCTAATAGGTCTCCTAGCTCTTCAAGTTGTTCCTCATCAATGTATTTCTTCCAGATTGTTATCTCTGGGATATTTGTTCTCTTTATGACTTCCATTGTTTCTTCCATCATTTGTATCTTCTTCTGTAGCTGTTCAAATAACTTCACATCATCATCTCTCTTCTGATGCTCTCTATCTGGTGTATTTATTGGGTCTACTTTTTTAGGAGAATGTTTATTTTCTTTTTTTCATGATGACTAAGGCAGACTGTTGCTTTCTTAACATTATGTGAGCCTTTTCTTAGTAGATATTGGGTTGTATTAACTATATGGTGATCCAGAGTGTGGCAATGTTTTGTGAAGGACCTGTATATTTGCATTTTCCTCTTGACCTGAGGCTGCAGGAATGAGGGCCTGATAGCAGTGTTTCCCAAAAAATACCTGAATGTCAAACCAGGAAGCCTGTTGTTCCCTTCTCGTAAAGGTGTCTTTACCCAGTTTGAGTTGTCCTGGTCCCTTCCATTTGAACTTAAGAGGTACCAAATGGTGTAGCTAGACAGCAGTGTTCCCCTCGAAGTACCTGTGATACTGGTACTCCTGGCACAGGACAGTGGGGGCAGCAGCTGGCCCTGAAACTGCAGACCCTTGACATAGCAGGCAGTGGTTCTGTTGCTGGCCAGGGTATGAATCCAGCGGATAGAGTTAAACCACTGAGTTTTCCATTAATAGCCACTAGGGCTGTTAACATTCAAAGTACCCTACGTCAGCAGGGCATCTTACTGTTGTATATAAATGATTTAAAATATATACTGAAAATAAGATCTCTTTCATAAATTTGGCCCAGTAATTTTACTCTTGAAACAACTATACTAATTTGAGTATTAATTGTGTCAAACCAAGCAGAATAATGATACTAATTTAAGTATTAATTGAATCAGTCCAGGTTAATGTTGTTGTTGTTGTGTACCAACAAGTCTGAACTGACCCATAGCTGACCTTCCAATGAGTTTTCAAAAGCAGTAATTGCATAGAAGAGATTGTCCATCCTTCTTCTGTGGAGCAGGTGGTGAATTGCACTGTAGATTCTTACCATTAGGCCACCAGGAGGGAAAAAAAATGTACCAGGGAGAGATAAAAGGAAACTTCACAAAACCCATGATCAGTTCACTTATGCACAAATTTACAGACTTATATCAGCTTTATAAATGTGCTGCAGTACAGGTAGCTAGGAAAGTTGTCATGAGGGACAGGGAGAGCCCTCTTTGAGGGACCCTTATTTTTATCCTGAAAAAGTATCTGACTTGGGCATGCTTGTTCTTAGAAACGATCTGAGAAGAGGAAACGTCAGTTTCGAAACCACGTTGTAGCATGTGTTTTTGGAGATGCCCAATCAAACCTGATGGGACTGCGGAATTTTGTAATGCCCTTGAGAGCTAGTAACTATACCCTGAAGGAGCTAAAAGACATTGTGTTCATCGGGTCTCTGGATTATCTACAGAGAGAATGGCGATTTCTCCGGAATTTTCCCCAGTTATACATTTTGCCTGTAAGTGTCTTTAAGTGTAAGAGGAGTTAGTGAATATTTGTAATGATAATAACACTAGCATCTGTAGCAGTAATGATAATTGTAATAATGGCTTGCAGTTATATAACACAGTACAACAGAAGCTTTTTTTAAACTTTTTTTCATTTATTAACCAATTAAATTCTTAAAACAGCTCTATGGTTTATTACATTAAAGATGTTAAACTTTAGAAATGAAAAGGAAGTCATTTCCTTAAGACCACAAACTGGGTAAATGACATGACTGGATTTAATTCAGACACTATAGCTTCAAAATGATTTTGATGTCTTTAAACAAATAGATTTTTCTGCAGGATTTTCTGACCCCATGATTCATTTTAGTCACTACCTTCCATGCTCTTGCTTATCTTTTTTGATGGAGCAGAATTATGAAGAATTGGACTTATATTTTTGAGAAATGTATTATTTATCCATATTTTGCATTATAGTAGTGATATGTGTGTTAAACTTTCACAAACTGACATTCTACGTTTTACTTGAGTGGAAAGTTCACTGTGTGCACTGAGGAATGCACCAAAGCATTTGACTTTTTGTAAAACACTGCTGTAAATACTAATTCACTAAATTTTACCATGAAATTCCCTGTCTTTTCTCCTCTTGCTTCAGTCCAGTGTAAAGAGAGAAATAAAAGGAATTATAAAGAAGCAATGACCACTGTGCTAGTTAACCCATAACATATACATGGTATCAGTCTTGAACAAACACATGAGGATTAATATTTTCCCTCTAGATCTAGAACTTCTGCGTTTCTTGTTTGTTTTTTATCATTGCTACCCTTCATGTTTCTTTTCTCCTTCTTCAGTCATCTAAATGTGTACTCCTTCCCATACTCTATTTCACTCATATAGACTTGCTTTCAAGAAAGAACCTATGGAATGTGTTCAACTAAATAATTGATTATCAATAATGCAAAATGGGTGACATATATTTCAGAAAAGTAAGGGGATTTTTATCAAGTCAGTGGAAGCCGGAAATGTTTTAGGCAGAAATTGCATCACCCACGGAGAGCCACCCCAAGAGTCATGAGGTAAAATCCTCCCATTTTACTAAGTGCTATCCTTCTTCTAGCCCATGTTTTCCTCTCATTAGGGATCTGCGCTTTTCTCTGGAGACCTCCGAGAAGCCAACATAGAGGAATGTTCGATGTGTGTGGTCTTGTGCCCCCCATACCAACCATCAAGCAGGCAGATTCTGGTGGACACCGAGACAGTTATAACCACCCTCAACGTCGGAGCCCTCCGGATTAGCTGCTATGCCCAAACACCATCAGTGGCACGTAAGAACAACACCCCTGACAGAAATAATCCAGGCAGAGTGAGTTAAGGAGAATGAACTTTCTTCTGAAGCACTTAAATTCTGGGAAGGAGAGATTGAGCCAGATGTCCTCAAAGATCGCTTCCAAATCGGAGCGTTCTAAATAGGAATAGTCTTCTTGTCCTCAGAATCCTAAATCAAACAAAAAACAATATGCTGTTTTGGTTTTTTAAATTTTATTTTAAGAAAAATCACAATATTTTACGTGCTATTAATCAAATAATGAGCACAAGTGATAGTATTACAATCAATAGTGGTATCCTCATCATTACTATTAATAAATTTTTATTTCATATTCATAGTTAAGTTTCTATTTTTAGTTTCATGGTTGAGAGAGTAAAGTATAATTTTCTTTCAGTCTTAAGACTATATTCAAAGTACACATTTTGAGGAGCTTATCCATAGGGTCTTTTCCAACTTTTGAAGGATAAGTGTCATGTTTCAAGAAAGATTAGTGAGAGAGAAGCAGGAATTTCTTCAGGACAAGTGATCAACTCTTTTTCACCTACATATTTCTCACACTGCCCAACACAATTAGTATCACTTAGACAAAAACCAAGCCAAACATATCATCACCAAGTCTATTGAGATTTGTAGCAAACCCATGTGCTACAGAAGAGAACTGCTCCGTAGGGTTTGATTGACTGAGACTTTTACAGAAGCAGGATTCTGATGCTGCTGAAAGAGTTCAAGTTACCAACCCTTAGGTTAAAACTTGAGTAAAAAGCATTTGTGACACTCAAAGACCTAATATCACTAATAAGATGTTTCATAAATATCTATTAATTGAAGTAAATGTGTCAAGAAGTCAGATCCAAGAATTTTCACACATTTTACTGTAATAAAAAAATGTTCCTGACATAAATCCACACTCCAAAATTGAGCCTTTTCTTTTCTTCCAAATAGAAAAAGATTAAAAACAAAACAAAACAAAATCCACACTCCAAAATTGAGCCTTTTCTTTTCTTCCAAATAGAAAAAGATTAAAAACAAAACAAAACAAAATCCCACATAAAACACAGAAACTGGCTGCCTTTAGAGGGTTTTTTTCAGCAAATAGACTCAAGTATGTTAAAATCGAGGAGCATGGCACAGGATAGGACAGGATTCAGATCTGTTGTTCATAGGGTCACTGTGAATTGTGTACTCCACTCAATGGCACCTAAAAGCCAATCTTTAGGCTAGCAGCACAAATCCCTAAGATTCTACCACCTGAGGTCATCTTAATTGGAAAGTAATATTTACTGAATTTTCATGTTGTTGCTTTTGGATAGGGAGAGGGAGGTGTTGAATGGGGTAGACAGGAATGGAAGGAGATGGCTCAAGACACAAATGACAAGGGCAGGAGCTGTTGTTGTTGTTTTTATGTGCCATTGAATCGCTTGCAACTCATAGCGACCCTATGTACAACAGCCCTAAACTCTGCTCTGTCCTGTGCCAATCACACCACACCCATCCTGATTACCCCAATCACTGAATCAATCCACCTCATAGGGGGCCATCTCCTTCTGCATTGTCCCTCCACCCTACAAGCAGGATGTCCCTCACCAAGGACCTATCCCTTCTTATAACATGTCCAAAGTATATTAGACAGAGCCTCAGAATCCTTGCCTCCAAGGAGCCGCCCAGTCTGACCCTTTCCGGGATGAATCTGTTTGTTTTCCTAGCAGTCCATGGTACCCTCAATACTCTTCTCTAGCACCACAGCTCAAAGGCATCAATTCTCCTTCTATCCTCCTTAGTCATTGTCCAACCCTCTGAAGCATAACAAGTGATTTCAAAAACCATGGCCTGTATCAGATGCACCTTAGTCTCCAAAGAGACACCATTGCTCTTCAGTACTTTGGAGAGGTCCCTAACAGCAGACTTTCCCATGGCAATACATCTTCTAATTGAGGGCAGGAGCAGGAGGGGCAAACACTAAATCTATTGGTAACTTCTATGATGGAAAAATGCCTTTCTTCTGTTCTTTTTTTGTAAAATGCTTGTCTGTCAGATACTGTTCTAAAGCTGGGTATTCAAATTGAGACAGACTGGGAAGAAAGATTGGCCATATATTTCTGATGTAGGTCATGGTCTTTGCAATCACTTGTTATGCATCAGAGAGTTGGACAATAACTAGGGAGGATAGGAGAACTTTGAGCTGTAGTCCTGGAGAGTATTGAGGGTACCATGTACTGCTAAGAAAACAAACAGATTTATCCTGCAAAGGGTTAAACGAGGCTGCTCCTTGGAGGCAAGGATTCTGAAGCTTCATCTGACATATTTTGAATGTGTTGTAAGGAGGGACTGGTCCTTGGAGAAGGACATCATGCTTGGGAGGGTGGAGGGACAGCACAGGAGGGGCAGACCCTCTATGAGGTGGATTGATTCAGTGACTGCGGTAATCCGGCTGGGTGTATTGGAGACAGTGCAATTGGCACAGGACAGAGCAGAGTTTAGGGCTGTTGTACATAGGGTCACTATGAGTTGCAAGTGACTTGACAGCACATAACAACAACAACTTCTGAAATAACAGGCCTTTGAAAACTGTATGTACAAAGAACACACTTAGAGTAGACTAACAGAAGTTAACCGAGACTGAGACCTCAAATAAAAACACAAAGGAGGAGGAACAGTTCTAATTAGACACTAGTGATTGGAACATGGAATGTGAGAAGCATAAATGTAGGGAAATTGGACATTATTAAAAGGTTTTATATCTATAATAAATCTTTAATTCAAGAAGTAAGAGCAAATCATTTTGAACCCTCTAAATTCAACTATTTCTCTTATCATCCCTGTTGTTAAATGCTATTTGGTTCATACTTAAAATTACCCTGTGCACAACAGAATGAAACACTATTCCAGACTTGTACTGTGTTTATTGTTGTTATGTGCTGTTGAATCGTCTGTGACTCATAATGACCCTATGTACGACAGCCGTAAACTCTGCTCTATCCTGTGCCAATCTTACTGTCTCTGACACACCTACCCCCATTACTCCAGTAACTGAATCAATCCATCTCATTGAGGGTCTACCTCTCTTGCCCTGTTGCTCCAACCTCCCAAGTATGATGGCCCTCTTGTACTAACTTTACACATTTTGCTAACTTTTAATCCATTCTTTCAGCCATTGTTTCAACCCACCTATGTCGAGTGTTTCCTTCATTTTCTCTGACTCTACTTTGCCAAGCATGATGTCTTGATCCAGGGGGTAATCCCGGCTGATAACATATACAAATTGTGTGAGATGTATCACCATCCTTCTTTCTAAAGAGCATTCTGGCTACACTTATTCCAAGATAGATTTTTTATTTTCTGGAAATTAATGGTATATTCAATATTCTTTATGAACACCAAAGTTCAGAGACATTCAACTCTTCTTAAGTCTTCCTAATGCATTGTTCAGCTTCCACATACATATAAGATAATTGAAAATATTATAGCTTGGTGCATCTTAGTATCCTCAAAGTCACATCTTTGCTTTTTTTAATACTTCAAATCTTTTCCAGCAAGTTTACCCAATGAACTACATCATTTGATATCTCTTTTTATTTGCATTTTTAAATTTTTTGTTTACATTATTTCATTCATGTGCACTATGTTCTACACAATCTTTTACTCACATTTTGCTTCATGTAACCATTTGTATGTACTGTGTTTAATTTAACTAACCACTATTACTCTATGCTGTTATTACCCCATCTCTTAGTCTCAAATGGAAAAGACTGCATAACAGCATTATTGTAAAAATGGAATGATTTCTATTTTAATGTGTGTGACTATCCTAAAGCGGAGGAGGATAAAGGCATGTTGTTTGTTTTGTTGTTATGTGCTGTCGAGTTGCTTGTGACTCATAGTGACCTAAACTCTGCTCTGTCCTGTGCCAATCGCACTGTCTCTGACACTCCCATCCTGATTAACCCAGTCACTGAATCAATCCACCTCATAGAGGGCCTTCCCCTCTGTGTTGTCCCTCACCCTCCCAAGCATGATGTCCCTCGCCAAGGACCGGTCTCTCCTTAACAACATGTCCAAAGTATGTTAGACGGAGCCTCCAAGGAGCAGCCTGGTTTAACCCTTTTGAGGATGAATCTGTTTGTTTTCCTAGAAGTCCATGGTATTCTCAATTCTCTTCTCCAGCACCACAGCTCGAAGGCATTAATTCTCCTTCTATCCTCCTTATTCATTGTCCAAGTCTCTGATGCATAACAAGTGATTGCAAAGACCATGGCCTATTTAAATTCTTGATTATTCATACGTCTATAGGAGCTAATTGTGAATCCAAATAAAACTAAATTGTATTAAGCATTTCATTAATTTCTCTATATCATGAGGTTATTTATTGTTCCAATTGTGAAGATTTTTGTTGTCTTTTGGTTGATGATTAATCCATACTGAAGGCTGGAGTCTTTGATCTGTAGCCATTTCTCCTAGGGATAAATTAATTCTCTGACACTGGTCAGCAATTTCACTTCAGATGGAACTTAGAGATGTTAGACATCAAATAAATTGCATGGGAGGCTCTCTGTGACCACGGTTGTGAATAAATTTTTTTATGAGTCAAACTGAGAAACTAAGAAACCTTTCCTCCTGTCTCCCAAACATTGTTGTTAGATGAGGAAAATAAGTTCTTATGACAAAGGAATAAAACAATAATGTAGCCTAATCCTTGCTAAGAGAACTGAGCTAGCTACTTGACATACCCTTACTAATCAATTAACCTCAACTCAACACCAAGTGTTGCAACATTTTTGTGAGACAGAAATAATAGCAGAGTACTTCATGAATAACTTAGTGCAATGAAAAGCCAAATTCATGCAGTGTGAGTTGTATCTTTGCTGAGAAAATCTAAAGACCAATTAAAGTGATGCTGTGTTCTGCCTCATAAATCCTTAGCTTAGCAATTAGAGCTGTTCCTCAGATTCATACAATATTTGGAAATATGTTTGTGTTGTACATGTTTAAAATTCTCAGTAATTGGATAGAGAAGAAGCACTCAAATTCTCAGGGACAATGCCAGTAACATTAATAGACAAATTAAAATGTTCATGCAATATGAGCTGGGAAGAAACTAGGCAATAGCACAAATCACATAATTAATAGCTTAAGCAAACTATCTTTCCTAATATTGTTAATTCATTGTCACCTCTTGGGCTACCAAGTTATAAACTCATAATGTCAATTCCAGTTTCCTGTATAGCAAGTATTCTTCATTCTTCATTAATTCAAAAAGATGTCAATTCTGTACAACATGTCAGGTATTCAGCTATAGACAAGAAAGTGGTCCTTAGAGGAGGAAATTACTAATTTGGTAGAAGGAAGAAGAGAGGGAAAAGGGATTAGAAAGAAAGAAAACAAAGCAACCCCAGTGTATTTGAACTGTTGTGAAAGATGAGTAGGTAATTACTCCAAAGATCGAGAACTGCTTAGTGAAAAATGGTGTACCATTTATTTCATGGTTTCCTCCATAGAGAAATATAGGTTCAGAGAGTCTGTAGTCATCCAGTGTCTATAGATTTCCAAAACAACTTGCTTCTCACCAAATTGTAAAAGGAACAAACAAAAAACTCTTCCTTATTCTCAAGTTAGAATTAATTCATAATTGACGTTCCCGTGTGTTTTCAGAGGCTATGAATCACTAGATTTTCATCTTGCCCCCAAGGAACTGCTGGTAGATTCATACTGTTAGAGATGTACCACCTTTGGGTCAGCAGCCAATCCACCAGACTAAGACACAAGAGCTCCCTAATCAGAACCATTATATCAGTAAAGTCACATCATAAACAATTTTTTAAAAACATTATTTTACTTTTGTTGTTAAGAACATTGTTGTTATTATGTACTATCAAGTCACCTGTAGCTCATAGCGACCCTATGTACAATGGCTATGAACCCTGCTCTATCCTGAACCAGTCTCACTGTCTCCAACACACCTACCTCCATTATCTCATTTACTGTGTCAATCCATTTCATCCTGGGTCTTCCTCTCTCACACAGACCCTTTACCCTGCCAAGCATTATATCCTTTGTCCGAGGACTGACCCTTCCTGCCAACATGCCAAAAGTATATCAAACAGAGCTTCAAAATCCTTGTCTCCAAGGAACATCTTGGCTTCACACTCTCTAGGACAGACCTGTCTGTTCTTTTGGTAGTACATTTTATGTTCAATACTCTTCTCCAGCACCACAAATCAAAGGCATTGATTGTCCTTCTGTCATCCTTATTCATTGTCCAGTTTTCTGAAGTGTAGCAAGTAATTGCAAAGACCATGGCCTGGCTCAGGCACATCTTAGTCTCTAGACTGATATCCTATCGAGTTCCCTGACAACAGATTTTCCTAATGTAATTCATTCCCCCCCGCCACCTCACCCCATCCCCGACTACTGGTGGTACCAAAGGTGTTGATTGTGAAACCAAAGTAAACTGAAATTGTTAGCAATCTCAATCTCTTCTCCATCTATTATAGTGCAGCCAAATGACTCAGTGGTGAGAATCTTTGTTTTCTTGAGGTTGAGCTTCAGTTCATATTGGAGACTACAATCCTTAACCTTCTGCATCAAATGCTTCAGGTCTTCCTCAGTTTCTGCAAGCAAGATTGTGTCATCTTCATAACACAATTTGTTGATGAGTCTTTCATTTAATGTTGACACCATATTTTTACACATAGATTAAAAAAGTACAGAGAAAGAACACATCCCTGAAGCTCTCCTTTCTTGATTTTGAACCATATTGTGTTTCCTTGCTCGGTTTTGATGACTGCTTCCTGGTCCAAATATAGGCTTCACATGAATACAATTAGGTCTTCTGGGATTCCCATTCTTCTCAAAGTTAGCCACAATTTGTTGTGACCCACATAGTCAATGTCTTTGCATAGTCAATGTAACTCAGATAGACACTCCTCAGGTAATCTTTGCCTTCAGACTAGGTCCATCTGACATTGGCTATGATGTTCCTAGTAACACAGTCTCTTCTGAACCCAGGTTGCACTTCTGGCAGTCCTCTGTTTTTACACTGTTCCAGTGGTTTTTGTACAATCTTCAGTAGGATCTTGCTTGCATGTAATGTTAGTGATATTGTTTGATAATTTTCACACTCTGTTGCAGCACCTTCTTTTTGTAATATGAATAAAAATGGATCTCTTTCAGTAAATTGGCCAGATAGTTATCCTCTAGATTTTTGGAACAGTCAGGTGAGTACATTCAGGACTGCATCTGTTTGTTGAAATATGTCGACTGGTATTCTGTAAATTCCTGGGGCCTTGTTTTTGACTATTTCAGAGTAACTTGAACTTCCTTCTTAATCATCATTGCCTCTAAATCATAAGTTGTTTCACG